ACACACACACACACACACACACACACACACACACACACACACACACAGAGAGAGAGAGAGAGAGAGAGAGAGAGAGAGAGAGAGAGAGCGAGAGAGAGATATCAAGACCTGAAAAGGGAGCCTTCTGTGAAGAGACATGTATTCTGCAAACAAGTGGGAAGGAATGGGCTCCATTGCACTACAGAGGAGTCAGGCTTAGAAGATGACAGAAAAAGGCTATTTGTCTTGGAGTTTCTGCTGCTGTGAAGAGATACCATGATAATAGCCATTCTTATAAGGAAAACACTTAATTGGGGTGGCTCATTACAGTTCAGAGGGTTCATCATCCTCATGGTGGGGAACATGATGTCATCCAGGCAGTCACAGTGCTGGAGAAGTAGCTGAGAGTCCTACATCTTGCCGGAAACAGGAAGTGAACTGAGTGTCATAATGAGAGAAGCTTGAGCAAAAGAGATCTCAAAACCTACCCCACAGTGATATATTTCCTCCATCAAGGCCACACCTACTCCAAAAAGCCACACCTGCTAATAGTACCACTTCCTTTGGGGGCCATTTTCTTTCAAATCACCACACTAGTATATCATTATCCTCCTTTTAGAAAGAAAACAGGGCCATCATTTTACAGTTAGTGTACCCTGTGAGCTGGCTATGGACAGAGAAGGGTAGGAAAGTCAGCGGGGTTGAAGTTATATACATGTTGAATTGAACTATTCATGGAATAACATTAAAATATTGTTATGTCAAGTTTAAAATAGCTGGATACATGAGATGCCATTCAATGCCAAATTATAGCATTGCAAAGTCCTACTAGGCACCATGGGTATAAGAAAAAATTTACAGTTGACGACTTCTCAGCCATTGGATGCATTGTAATGAGTTGGGAGATGTCCAGTGTGCTGTTAATTTTGCAGCTGATGCTGACACCTGGTCCAAGTTGCTTGTATTTGTTACCTTTGTTGCTGTGACCAAACACTGTGACCAAAGACAACTTAAGGGAGAGTTCATTCGAGCTGATAGTTCCAGAGGGTGAGATGTCTGTAACAACAGAGAGGGTGTGGCAGCAGGAGCAGGAAGCTCAGAGATCACATCTCAACTCTTCACCCAGGAACGAGAGAAAGAACTGGGCGGAGGGCAAGGCTGTCAGCTCTCAAAGTTTCTTCCTAGTGATGTGCTTTCTCCACTAAAGCCACACCTCCTGAAAGTTCCACAACTGCCCCAAATGGAGCCACCAACAGAGGACCACATAGTCAAATACATGAGCTCACTGTGGACAGTTCTCAGTCACACCACTAGGCTGCTGAACCCAAACCTCCGTTGGTTCAGAGATTGTCCTCGCTATGCTGTGTAATACTCATAAAGCATCCTGACTACTGAGATGGTCACTCTACAAGTACATAGAGACTCCCTGAGTCACAGACAAAGAGAGAACTGATCAATAATGGTAGGTCACTGAAACCAAGTAGCATCAACATTGAGACCACGCAGCCTTAGGGCAGCAAGATGACCTCTCTTGCAACAGAATACTGGGGTGGATGCTCTCACCTGAGCAAAGGATGGTTCATGGACCATTCCAGAGGGCTTGGAGGGGTTTTCTTAAGTGACTTGTGCAAGGGGATGAGATATAACACATTAGACAGCCTCGGTCTAGTTTCTAGAAAGTCAGGAACAAGACATGCCTGGTTAGGCACCACTTCACCTGCTGCTCAGCTCAGTACTGACAGGACCACACTGTCCTGGGTCATCAGTCTTCCCCAATTACACATGTTAGTTCATTAAACTCTGACCAAAGCTATAAGCCTCAAAGAGGTGGGGTGGCTTTCTGAGGTCACACAGCCAGTAGGTGGCAGACCTGGGATTGAAACTCAAGCTTCTGACATTAAATTTTATGCTTGTTTTTAGCAAAACAAACTTAAAAAGCAGGATGAGACTCAAACCTAGTTCATCTCTGAGAACACACTTTCTAAGACTTGGGCAGTCTGGTTGCATGAAATCTTACTTGGATGGCGTTAGGTCCAGAGAAAAGATTACATGAAGTGATTTCTATTCAATATTTTCACTTGTTCTATTTCTTCATTTTTGCTCTTGTGCTTGGCTCTCACTATGAAGTCCAGACTACTTACTACATGGCCTAGGCTGGCCTTGAACTTGTGCTTCCGCTGTCTCAGCCTCCTGAGAGACGTAATTGCAGGAGTGCATCGTCACATCCAGCTCAGCGTTTTCTGGCACTGTCATGCCACATATATTATTCCCTTTAGTCATCATCCTTGGATGCAGGAATGAATCTTAAATCCTTTTGATGGGTGAAGCAGTTGGACCTGGAGCAGTGTCCCTGACTATTACCCTCCTGCTCTGGAGGTTCTCACAGCTGAATTTTATAGTGTCAAAATACCTCTCTTTCTAATCCGCGTGGTGGCTTCTCAAAACTCTAAGAGACAGAGGTAAGGTGGGACATTGCGCCCGCCACAAGGCATTTATGTTTTTATCCATCTGTTCATTTGTTCATTTATTCATTTCCCTCAGTACTTTCTGTATTTTCATTTAATCATCTCAACAATTCAAAGATGATTGAACTACCCATACCTCCTCTGTTCAGCTTATCACCTAGCCCAGTCTCCTGACTTCACAGAATTCGTGTTCAAAGACAAACAACCCTTTTAGGATTATTATTTAAGCGCAGGTAGGCCCACCCTGCAGTTCCTAATGCTGTGTGAATGCAGCAGGTTTTGGAAAGAGTTCATCTGTTCACAGTCACAGAATCTTGCTTAGATGTGTTACATTCCTTTCCCTTGAAAATTTGATGCCCTGAATTTCCCCAGCATACAAGTTGCTCTGTCTTTTGTGACTCCCTTAGTGGCAAAGTCAAAAATGTAAAGGATGAACAAGCCACTTTCTGTGGGTTTCCGAACTCCTGCCCCAGGTTCAGGAAGTAAAGGTTCAAAATGGCTCCTTTCTCTCTTGCGCCTACTGCGTCTGATGCCTGCGCTAGTCTA